TTGTGCTTTACAACCCTATGAAAAAGGCATGGTTTCCATTTATAGATGCAAAACATGCGGAAGCTGAGAAAGATTAAATAACTCTTCCAAAGTTCAGTAGCTAGTAAGTTGAGGTTGCAAAGCCAGGATTTGAACCTGACTTTTCTGATGCCAAGACAAGATCCTTATACCCTGTACAGAGATGCAAGGGGTCATCTAGCCTCCAGATATCACAGCAGGTGAGGCAGGTGGACCTCTGCTTTCCTCATCTCCCTGTGCACCTCCTGAGCGCATGATAAGCTGAGTATGGTTGGCTTTTCCTCATGAGCGGAGGGGCTGTGTTCTTGTCCTGGAACCTCTGTGCTGTGAGGAGTCTGACCAAGTGAGCAGGACAGCAAGGTGAGGACCTGCACCTATCACCAAGGGGCAGGAACCCACATGCCTCTCTGTCGCTGCCTCCCACCAAAAGTATTCTCTTTTCACTGGTTCTCCTGCTTTGAAAGGGAGCCGCTGCCTTCCAGACATTCAAAGGGTCCAGAAATTGGTGGTTTTGGCTACTAAACAGGAAACTCTAAGCCCTTTCCGTTCCTTTGAGCTGGCTGGAAGGGCTGGGCCTGGAACCACTACTTTAAAGGACAGAAGAAAAGTTTTGTGTGGTTTTAAAAAACAAAGCAGAAAGCCTTTCCTGGAGGCCTGCACACCAGCCTCGGTTGATACACAACATGGGAAAGAACCGCCTTGTTGCCTGGCAGTAATGACAGCAAACAAACGTATCTGACAGTCTGTTTGGCATCTCCCGGTCTGAAATTCTGTTTGCTTCATTCTAATTGCTTCCTTAACTTCCTTTCAGTCTTCCCACCTTCAGTACCACCCTCACTCAAGGGAGCACCAGCCTGTGCCAGGTTGCGCCAGCCTGGGCTGGGCCCCACAGGATACAGTGGCCCCGCAGGGACTGTTGTCTGTGTCTGTTTGCAAGATGCCTGTTGTTCTCAGTGGCTGTTTTTCCCATCATAAATGTCAACTTGGCAGGGGCCCCAGGGTGGAAGCCTTGGTGGAGGAGCTTCCAGAGCTCTGCCTCAAAGCGCAGCTGGTTCTGAGTGCCAGGCTCAGGAACAGAGGTTTGTGAACACTGCCTCTTGGTGGGTACTTGAGGAGGTCTTGCTGCCACAACAGCCACGACTGGGTTCAGCACCCTTGGCAGAGTGTGGGCCCCTGCCAGTAAGCTCTTGTAGAACAGGCCTGGAGGAACTGTAGTGCCCCTGCCTGCGAGGCGCCTCTGTGCCTGGCCGGCCTTTTTCTTCTGCCATGCACCCTCCCCTTACCCCTTCTCTCTCTCTAGGAATTCTAATCTGTGTCAGGCCAGAGAAAGTCACTCCCAGGCTGTGCCCTGAAGCCAACTGAATACCAAGGGCAGTAGCCTATCAGTAAAAGGCTTGAGTACATACTCTAATACACACAAACCTACCTATCAATTCCATATGTAAATTACTATGTGATATGTACTGAGAGGTTAAGTAACTCTTCCAGGTAATTAGTAAGTTTTTAAATTTTTTTTTAAATTTTTGATTTTTTAGTTATAAATGAACATGATATATTCGTTTATTTTTATGTGGTGGTGAGGATCCAACCCAGTGCCTCACATGTACAAGGCAAACGCTCTGCCACTGAGCCACAGCCCCAGGCCAGTTAGTAAGTTGAATAAACATAAAAGAAAAAATGAATGAATTTGTATATATAATTATAAAAGAAAGTCAACAACTATAAAATTGTTTTTGATGCTCCTTTTGTTTAAATAGTGATTTTACATAATTGCTTTTTAAGTCACAAAATTATTAAGAAATGAAAACTTTGACAAATGCAAGTTTGCTACAGAGCACAAGCTTCAGGTACTTTGCTGTAGGTGAACCTATGTGGTGCTCTGTCCCATTCTAAAAAATTGCAAAGATCCTGCTATTTAAGGCTCTTTTTATCAGATCAGCTTCATTACTGACATACTATAGCAGAGAAAAAGCAGTATTCACAATTTGCTAAAAGCAAAGGCAGAAGAAGAGTGCCACTGTCACCCTTCCTTCTTGATTCCTGGATGTACAGCCCAGGGAAGGCACCAGTGGCAATATGTATAGTTTTTTTGGTGGTGCAGGGGATTGAACCCAGGGTCTTATGCATGCTCTACCACTGAGCCACACCCTCAGTCCTCCTTGTTGTAACTGCTTAGTGAAATTTAATTTTGTAGATACAAATAGTATTTTCTGCTTGCTCTGGAGAATCATCTTACAAACCTTCTGGGGATACTGCTGCCCTGGAAAATCTCAGTGTTGCCTCTCCCTGCATTCCCCATTGTGTCTAGTGGGCAGCAGAGGATCAGTGAGTGTTTGAGAAATAAGTGAATATGTTCTTTAGGGTCCTTTCCTGTCATGGATGGAGTACCCCTGTTGCTTCATGTCATTTTACTGTCTGTTTTCTTCTAGGATTTGTTTTCCTGTAGCCACCTTTTTCCTAGTGGTGAACTTGAAGGCCTTAGCAAATGTGTTTTAGAGGATAGTGAACCTGATTACATATAATTTAGAACCATGAATTCATAAAAGAATATAATTTTGGAGCTGGAAGGAGACTCTGAGGTCAAAATCTTACATTAAATAATCAAATCAAAAATAAACTCTAGTAGATCCATAGAATGGAATGCTGTTCAGCAATAAAAAGGGGATGAACTTGATTTATAGAAAACCTGGATGAATCTTAAAGGAATTGTGCTGAGTGAAAGAACCTGATTTAAAAAAAAACAATACTGCACACTCTATGATTTCATTTATATGACATTCTAGAACCCTCAAATGAGTGATTGAAAGCAGTGGTTGCCTGTGAGTCCCAACTGGGAAGGAGAAGAAAAGGAAAGGGGAGGCTGGAATGGGGATGTTTGGGTGTGATGGATAACCCATAATCTTACTATGGATTATGGTGATATCACAGGTATGTGCAGATATTAGAACCAGAAGTGTTCAATGCATTCTTTAAATATGTAGTTTATTATACTTCAGACCTTGATACAATTGTTTTTTTTAATAAAAAAAAATTAGAAGTAGTTCTATCTGGAATAAATATTAAATGCATATTGTATGCAAGATTCAAATATTTGTTAAGGGTTCAGAGAGATTGGAGACATGGCTCAGGCCTTCAGGAAGCCCACAACCTTGTGAGGGAATTAAATAGACAATTTAAATCCAGGATATTAAATGCTGAGAAAAAAGAAAACATGGGGAACAAGAGGGGTCCAGAACATGGGTGTCAATGATGCTTCTTCCTAGGGAGGTTGGAAAGCCTTACAAAAGAGGAGCTGAGCTGAGGCTTAGAAGGGATAAGTTGGGAGAGCTTTCCCATCAGAGGAACCATCATCCATGGGCAAAGTTGGTGAAATGCAACCACCGCATGTGGCTTATTTTGACTAGAGCAAAGGAAAGTAGCAAGAACAGAGACCAGAGGAGTGGGTGGAGACAGATATTGAAGCTTTGGCTGCCCTTGAAACCCTGGGGTGTCTTTGTGTTCTAAGGTTGAACTAACAATTTGTCCAAATCTAGGCCTGTGTTTGGGCTGGGGTTGTAGCTCAGTGGTAGAGTGCTTGCCTAGCACAGGTGAGGCCCTGGGTTCAATCCTCAGTACCACATAAAGATAAATAAATAAAATAAAGGTATTGTATCCATCTACAACTATAAAAAACAATTAAAAAATCTAGTCCTATGTCAATGGGACATTGTCTATTGAAATATTTGGCATGGGCCTCTAGGATTCATGTTTTAAGGCTGTGATACCCGGAGCTTCTCAGTTGTGCCTAGGAGGTCTTATGTTCCCCAGGGATGTTTCAAGATCCCAAAAAGGAGAGAGTTTGTGCAGGTCTGGGCAGCAGCTGCAGAACATCTGCTTCCTCCTTGAAGCTGTACCTGGCATGCCTTTGACTATTGGAGGCAACCAACACTCCAGCTGCTTTAGAGGCAGTTTTTGACCAAGTAAAGAGTTTTGCCTTAATCGGTGCCGAGCAGCTCCAGTCTCTGCCATCCTGCACATCTGACAAATGACTGTTTCATGCATAGTGATCTGTGCCCTGTCTGGTGCTTTTACCCTCTAGTCATCTATTAACTAGTCACCTCCAGATTTCTTCAGAGTCCCTTGTTTGTTTGTTTGTTTTTAGAGCTGTTGGTTTTAAAGTGGTTTTCAGAGCAGGCTTGGATGTTAAATTCAGGATACAATTTTTATACCACATTAAAAATGCAGACAGCAATGCAGAACATGGCTGGCTCATGTCAGCTAGACATCTCAGTATAACCAGAGGAGGAAAACATGGACAGGGCTTATGTTAATGGAAGTAGATGTCAGATTGCATGGCAAGCTCTGGCTCCTGTTTGTCCTTTCCCCTCACCACTCCCCAGCCCGAAGAAAGAAGCTAGAGGCTAAGATGGGATTATTGCCTACTAAGCATTTCTGTGCTGTAGAGATCAAGTTGCTTATACCTCAGAAGGGGAGCTTCCATGATGCCATTCAGGAGGATGATGGCTGTTGTGGCAGTTAGGATCCACAGAAGGGCAAGATGAGTGATAAATGGTTTGTTTGTTCTTTGCTGCCTTCAGTAGGAAAGGGACCAAGAGAACAAAGAAAGGTGCCTCTTACTGGTTTTCCATGTCCCAGCCAATGTGGGAAAACTGTGGCCAGCACAGATGGCTGAAATCAAGTAGCACTAGGAGAAGTGAATATGGATTAATTATCTCAGGCAACCTCAATAGGGAAGCAGTTTTTAGTGACATAGTGGGGTTTGGTATGCCCTGCCCCCCATCTTCTCACCTAAGCTGGTGAAATAGTGCAAGTGTGGCCTTCTTCCCCGTCCTCATGCCATCTGCCAGCTAGTCTGTTAGCTGGCTTACTGTTCCCTTCTGTGTCAATCCTGGAAGGCTTTGTTTGTTATGATTTGGGGTTAGTTATCCAAATGGGTGGGTGAAATGGATATCTAACCGTCCATTTGTTTTCTTGTATTTCAGTCCTTCCAAGGAAGTCAAGGACGAGCATACCTCTTTAACTCAGTGTGAGTGTCTCTGAATGGTGCATCCATTGTTTGGTGCAAATTTTGAGGGATGGGAAGAGCAACTCTCAACAATTCAACAGTGGACCCTGACTTCTGTAACAAACCCTGTGGAGTGTTACTCTTACAACAGTCAGTAACCTTTGGGGATATTTCTTTCTTTTTTTTTTTTTTTTTCAACATCTCTGGCTGAAAATACTCTGTTCACCACAGTGCCCCTAGTAATCCCATAGGGAAGAAGCTGAGGAGTTTTCTGAGGGAGCTTCAACATGAAAGTCTCATAGCCAGATGTGAGATTTGTCACTGTGGGGAGAGAGGGTGAAAAAGATCTCCACCGGGATCTGCTGAAGATGGAGGGAAGGCTGAGTTAGGGAAGATCCTCTAGCCTCTACTAGAGGCTGTGACACAGCGTACACAGCCCATAGTCATCTCTGGATGTGTGATTTATAACATCTTCCTGGGAAAGGAAGGTGAAGCTTACATAGCCTTTTGAACTGTAAAATGGAAATCTAAGGCATTCAGTTTGAAATAGGCGCTCTGTGAAGCAGTAGTATGTATAATGTTCAGGATTCATTGTTATGATAAGGACAAGACTGTGTGGCATATGTGGCTTCATTTAGTCCTCAGTAAACTTTGAGGACCTATGCCCATGGCTTGGATTTCCTCCATTTAAGTCATGAGATTAAAAGCATTTGTTAGAAAAATTAAATCCTAAGCAAAGCTTCAATCAGTACTATCTTAGTAGACCCAGTGAATCAAATCTTGGAGGTCTGGAATTCATTGCAACTGATATTTCTGTGTGGCTACCTTTGGAGGGATGTTCTTAAGTTTTAAATGAGGTTCTTAGTGTTGACTTCCCTTGGGACAGCCTTGTCTGGTTGGATTTTTGCTGGAAGTTCAGCCTGAACAATGAATGATGTACTACATGTGACTAACTACCTGTTCTCTCGTTCTCTCTTTTGGCATAGAGTTAATGTGGGCTGTGGGCCTGCAGAAGAGCGAGTGTTGCTAACAGGACTACATGCAGTTGCAGACATTTACTGTGAAAACTGCAAAACCACTCTGGGCTGGAAATATGTAAGTACAGTGGAGTCTGCTTGAGGGGCCTATGAAGAGACTAGCACAGAGCCTCACGTTAGAAGAATGCTTTTTTCTTTTGCTTCCTGGGGCCTTGTGGAAATATCCTTGACCAGGACAGGAAGCTGAGCAGTACCTGGTGCCATCATCTATCTGCAATACTCATTCCACTTCCAATTCATTCTTACACCTGTTCCCTCACAGTCACACACACCCTTGTAGACTTAATAATATTAACAGCATATAACATTTGCTGACAGATGAATATATTTACTTTTCAGCATCTCTAGAGGTTAGATGTTATTTTATCTCTATTTTCTGATTGGGGTACTGAGGCTGAGGAAGGTTAATAGTATGTCCAAGGTTATCCAGCCATCAAATGGCCAAACCAGGAAAGGAATCCATTGAGTTGTCTGACTACCGAGCTCTTAAATCACTGTACTTTGAAGAAGTGTAAATGCTCTGAGAAGATTGCCTAGATCCTAGGTCAAGTCTACTGTGGGTATAGTTATGGCTGGACTCTCCCAGATGCACAATTCATTCTTTCAACATAGACTATTAAGGTCCCTTTGGGACCTAGGAAGAGTGCATATTCCTTTGTCAGGGTAAGAGGAGGAGGACAGGGATCTGTTACTTTAAAGACCCTGGGGACTAGGTATTCTAACATGTATTGGGGTCACCAAACAACCATAAACACAGCCCCACTATCCCTCTGGCTGGTGGCTAAGTACCATTTAGGTAGCTAGAGTCAGGTTCAGATTTGGGCTCTATCACTTATTTATTTGTCTGTGTGTCCTTAGGCAGCTATTTCATTCTCCTTACTCATAGAGATTTTAGTGCTTTGAATAGAATAATGCTTTTGTAAAATACTTAGGTCATCACTTGGCATGTAGCATATGTTAGTGAAGATAAGCTTACATTGTTGTTGTTGGCAGATCTTTTTCTGCCAGCATTGGTACTTACATGTATACCACAGTACTTTTTGTTTTGCCCTGTCATTTTGAGGATATTGAAAAATTGGTCTTTCTGTCATTGGGAGGGCGATTTATTCTATGTAAAATGTCTCAAATTCCCCATCGTGTCATATGGCTTATGACCTACTATTGGTTTGGGAAGGAGCCCAAGGGAATGATCAAAACTACTGCAGGGTGAATGCTGTAGATTCACCAGTGGTAACAAGTGGAACACTCTGATGTGGGTTTGTAATAGTGGGGGTGTCTGGGACATGGTTGGAGGGTATATGATAAATATCTATACTTCCTGCTCAATTTAGCTATGAAACTAATATGACTTGAAAAATAAAAAATTTATTGGGGGAAATAAATAAAATAGTATGAGCAATAGATGCCAGACACACATGTATAATTCCATTTAAATAACACTTGAAAATGTGCAAGTGATTTAAAAAGAAAATTAAAACTGCCACAGGTGGAGTCTGCAGTAGCATTTGGCAGAACTGCTTTCAGATTCAGTTTTTTGCATCTCCTTGGAAATGTTCAGCGCTAGGAAGAAAAACTCCAGACGGTATGTTTTGTGATGACAACATGGTTTAGGCGCTGCTTGTTGATCATTGTGGGAGAAATTGGCCTTGGCCATTTTGCCCCTCTCACCATCAACCCATCCCTCTGAGTAAGTGATGGTGGGGGCATGCACAGTTCTGGTTTTTACTAAAATATTTTGACCCTCAAAACAATCTTGTGATTATCCCCAATTGTGATTGAATAGAAAGTCAAGTGGTTAAGTGATTCTTCTGAAGGTGGAGTCGTTGGTGATTTTGTAGACTCCAGTCCTGATATTTTGCAAGTGCCTTTGTGGCTCAGAGCAGTTGAATTTTCTTTTCTTTTTTTTTCTTTTTCCTCCACCTGAACTCTTTATTGTGGAACAATATATCTATTTCCAAACCACTTCCTCTATTGTGTGTAAGTGTGCATGCCCCTGTGCACTTACACACACATACACACACACACACGCGTGCGGCACAGGGGTATAATGAAGTGTGAGGGAAATTGCTGCTGAGCCTATAACTATTCTCTCTTGGTTCCTCTCTCCTATTTTGTGAATGATTCCTCTCAACAAGAGATTGAGTTCAAACTCTTGCTCTGAAACCCAAAAGTCTATGGTACTGTTCATGCAGAGCTGCAGGAACCCACCAGTAGGCTTTAGTTTCTTAATTCCAGGGCCCTAGAGGAACAGCTGATGTCGCTGCTTCTGCACCTTGACCTTAGTCACGTGTCAGCTGTAGGGAGCAGTGTTCTCAGATAATACACCAGGATGTTCTTGTCTGTTGCTGAAAATAAAATGACCATTTATCCTGAACCTGTGCGGGACTGTTTTCTGTGGGGCTTATTAATTGGGAGTGCCCGCAGTATTGTAAATTTAGAAAGTAACCTGCCAGGTGTTGAGGTTTCCCTCTGGAGACCTAGCAGTTGGCTAGGGCTTGAGGGCTGCCAGGTTCTTCAGCCTTGAGTTTATACAGCTCCTGTCTCCCTGGAGAAAGTCAGTGAAGGAAAAACATGCTTGACTTATCTGACAGGGAAACAGCAAGAACAAGGAAATAAGGCCGAGAGACCTGTTTGGCCTCATAGTACCTGGTTTCTCTTCCTGTCTTTTCTCTAAGGTTAACAAGTTCAGCTTAAAATTATAACCAGACTTTCCTGAGTTCCTAGAAACTAGCAGAAATGACATGGAAACTTTGTGGATAGATCTGGTTGGCACCAAGGTCCCCTGAGATAGACAAACACTCAACCATTGAGCTACCTCTTCGGCCCTTTTTCTTTTTCTTCATAGGAATACTCTCACTCTTTTTACCTTAATTGAATGTATACTTATTCATTCTGCAATTATTTTATTTATTTTTTAGTTGTAGATGGACACAATACCTTTATTTTATTTATTGTTATGTGGTGCTGAGGATCAAACCTAGTGCTTCACTTGTGTTAGGCAAGCACACTACTGCTGAGCTGCAACTCCAGCCCTAGCAATTATTTATTAAAGATTTGATAGGTCCCTTGCAGCTGTCTAGGGGACACAGCAATGATATAAAACACGAACATGTCTGCCATCCATGAAGTTTATATTATCACCAAGGGAGACATAATAAAACAGAACTACAGATTATAATGTATGTTGGAAAATGATAAATACTATGGGCAAAAACTAATTTGGGGAGGGGAGAGGGAGTGCAGGGGTGAAATTCAGTTGGGATTTTGAGTAGAACAGCTGGGAAAGATCTTTCTGAGATAGTGACACTTGAGTAAAGACTTAAAAATGCAAAGATCCTGATGAAATTATTTCATAATACTGAGGAAGTCCCGGTGTTGCCTCAGTTCTGCTGTTGAGTGCAGGAGACAGAATGCTTGAGTGGTGACAAGTTTCTCAGTGGGTCTGGGTGAAGCCTGGATGGGACCTCAGTCATTCTGATGCTTCTTGTTGGCAACGCCTCTGCTTCTATGCCATAAAAGTTACCTGTTGGTCATTGAATTTCTTTTGTCTTTCTCTGTTTCATAGGAACATGCTTTTGAAAGCAGCCAGAAATATAAAGAAGGCAAATACATCATTGAACTAGCACACATGATCAAGGACAATGGCTGGGACTGATCCGACACCATCTACCCAACCCAGTATCCATGTGAATGCCATCTAACTGAACATTCTACCCAAGCGTGAGAGAGTGACTGAACACTTGGTTCCATCCATTTAGGGGCCTTCCCATCTGGGGCATCCTCCCACACTGACACCATCTTTCTGGTGACCGGCCTCTAAATTGCCGTCTCTCTGTCTCTTTGCTTTGTATCTGTTTGTGAGTTGATCCTGGCTTCTCTCTCTGTTCTAGTGTTGGCTGAAAACAAAAACAACAAAAGGAACAGATCCTTGACCACATGGCGGCAGCCCACCTTGGACAGGGCCCCAGGGCCTATGCAAGAGCTGCCTGATGGCCTCTTGTCAGGAGAGCAGTGACGTGGCCCGTGGGTGTTAGGAAGAGGGAAAAGGGGGAATCCCAAGGGTCCTGGGAATGGGCAGAGGGTGGGAGGGTGGAGGTAGGAACAAAATTGCACTGCTCCTGGAGACCTGGTAACTTAGGCTTGAAATAATCAACCTGTCTAAAAGGACAAAGAGAAAAAAAATATACCTCATGGCTGCAATATCTCTGATCAGAAGCTTCTGTACCTGACACCACGTGTGCCAGGATAGCAAATGAGCACAAGCAGTGGCCCTAATTCTAGCTGACATGGCAAGAGCCTCGTTCTCTTGGGCTGAGCTGGGGCATGTACTGGCAGCAGTGAGTGAGGTAGGTGAGGCCCTGATGAGTTCTGATCTGGTTCCTCACTCGGCCTCTGGGCAATAATCTCTGCTTCCTTAGCCACTGCGTGTGAGGGCAGAGGGCACTGGCATTTGCAATGTGCGCAAGATGCAAATGTCCCAAAGGCTTTGACCAGCAACCAAGTAAAATCAGGAATTGAGGCAAGCAGCAAATAAGAGAGGGGCTGGAGCTTGGGAGCTCCTAAGGAAATAGCTCAGATTTTGAGCCAGAAAAATTAAAAGTAGAAATACTAGCAATGCTGACCGTCTACCCCCTTTTCCTGACCCTGAGCAATACTGAGTCGTATTGCCAGGGGAGGAAGCTGACTGGAACAGTGTGAAGAATAGTTCAGATTTGAACCAGTCCAGGTTAGGTGCATCCTTCCTCTTTGGATACGCAGTGGCTTCGGTGGGATCAGCGATTCTTTGTAGTGCTCGGGGTGGTTTTTCTCCACCTCTATGTTGTAGACTGTGGAAGACAAAGGCCTTGAGCCTAGGGATCACCTGGTTGGTTACTCTTCTTGGACCTTCAGTGTCTTATGTGGAGAGAAATCTGTCAGACTGGTCCAGCAGTGGGGAGGGGTTACAAATTCCCAATATTACCCCCTTTCTCCTCCCCCGCCCCATGCAAACTTCAGAGCATTAGGGAAGTGAAGAACAGATCCCTATAAGGCTTACCAAAAAAAGTTTGATCCATTTCATCAACACTGTGAAGTCTCCTCTGCAGCAGTTCAGCCAGGTACATGGTGCAGGACTGAAACTCATTTAACTGAGTTTCTTAGACTGAAAATATTAAGATATTTGCAGATGAGGTAATTCTAACCATCTAGTCCACCAAGCAGGCTGCTCCTCTAGGAAAATTCACCTTAACAGCCTCACAAAGAGTGGGTTCATGGAGATAAGAATTTGTAAAGTTGGTCAAGAGCAAAGCTGCCAACCCTCAGACATTTTCAGAATCTCATCAGCAACAGAATGAAATTCCCATAAGAAAGGAGTCTACAATGGAGATACCTTTTGTGTCTCCATGTGCTGACTGTAGAATGGGAGATTTGAGACAGCCATGGTCCTGCCCTGCCCCCGGCCTATGGCAGGTTGACAGAAAACAGGGTAGTTCCATGTTTGGCAATAAGCGTGCCTCTCCTCTTTAAAGACGGAAGGATTTCTAGAAATTGAATTTTGGACAGGCATGGAGACATACCACTATAATCCCAGCAATTTGGGAGGCTGAGGCAGGAGGAATTCAAGTTCCAGACCAGCCTCATCAACTTATTGAGACCCTATCTCAAAATAAAAAGGGCTAGGGATGTAGTTTAGTGGTAGAGTGCCCCTGGGTTCAGTCCCTAGTACCAAGGGGGAAAACATTGAATTTTGTTCTCCAGGGCTTCTTGTCTAGGAAGTAGCCGTAGAGATTAAGTTGTTCTCCCCCCTTTATTGCAAGGCAGACTGAGGTTCAGAAGTATTTAATTTCTGCTCCCAGGCCCAAGTTTTCAAACATTTTCCAACTTTCACATTCCTAAGCTGGCTTGCCATGACAGAAATCATGGATTTCCCCCTCTTTTCCTCCTGAAGCAAGTGGCCTTCATTTGTGGATTCAATTAGACCCTTTGCTCAGGGACTATCCTAGCTATTAAGAGTCTCTTTCATAAAAAGAAAATGGGATTAAATGAAGACAGGTGTTTTGTCTTTAAATCTACAGTTTTAAGGTAGTCATGTACCGAAACTGGACATGGGATGTCCTAGAATTGTCAAGGGGCAGAGAAGGAGACCAATGTGCCACTGTTCTTCCTTGGAGATGGGGCCTTTGACTGTAGCATGGATCAGAGCAGTTTCCAATCAGACCCTGCTGCTGGGTTTTTTCCAGTCACCATCCATTGAGCATCCAGTGGGTGGATGGCACCATACTTGGTGCAAGAGATCTGAGTAGAGTGTAGGTTTTTCCACAACTACAGGGGGAAAAACAACTCATTAGGCTTCCCTTTGTGTCAGTGAAACCAAAAGTGCTTCTTATAACTAGCTCTATTTGTGGTTTGTCTATCTAACATTTAGCAGTATTGGAGAGGCCACAGCTGAGCAATGGAGACCCGACAAACCATGGCCTTGGTCAGTTTATTCTTTAATTTTCTCACCAAATTATTGACCCAGAGCATAACCAAAGACCTCTTCCATTCACCCTAAATAGTTTCAGGGAATTGGAGTTTGTTGATTAAACTCGGGGGTGGAGTTACGGGGAGAAGGGAAGGGGAAAGGAGAAGTGAGAAAGGGAAAAGCAGGAAGTTCTATACCTCAGCCAGCAGCTGCCTTCATTTTGAACTGAAGTCCAGCTGGCAGATTTGTGTTCCAGCCCCCCTGCACCACCCTAGGTCATATGGCCTTGGCTACCCTGAAGTGCACCCAGGCCTCCACCCCCGCCCCTGGGATATTAGTCTCAGGCTACTGATGAGTTGATTTGACATAAATCAAATAGAGCCAAACTTGATGCCCACAAGTTCTCAGCTGGGTCTGAGTACTATCCCAGCTCCTGTGACCGCAAGATCACATACACAGGGTAAAGTTAGTCTTTACTGGTGGGTCAGTGTGTGCAAAGAGGTGTCCCCTTTATGATAAGATTTTCAAGTAGATATATCTATACATATATATATGAAAAAAAGTTGCTTGTGAAATATACTTTTGTAAATAATATTTAATTTTTTAAATAATATATTTGGTGCTGTTTTCTCAGATCCCTGAGAGCACTTTTTATTTTAAATTCTATGATTTCCTCTGCATTTCTTGAAATATATTTTAAGGGAAACAGTAATCACCAATGTACTTTTTTTTTTTTGAGGATATCTCACTTTAATCTGGATTGAGGCTTTAAAGCAATGCCTGTCTGTATCCCCCCCCACCACACACCACCACCACCATGGAACAGACTCTGCAGTAAATTACCAGGTTGAAAACGGAAATATTTTCTTGCACCAATATTGACTAGAAAAGAAAATAAATAAGTAAATTTAGTAGTAACAATTTAGAGTAATTACACTTGTTGGGGGAAAAAAAATCTAACAAATCGGGGTCTTGAATTTGATTGACTGTGTGTGTGTGTGTGTGTGTGTGAGAGAGAGAGAGAGACAGAATGTGAGTGAAAGCATTTTGAATTGTGCCTCCTGTTTTCTTTTCTTTTGGGGACACTGTAACTATAGTTTACACTGTGGGCACATAAGGTTTTTCTTCTTTCTCTCTGGTTGTTTTTGTTTCTGAGTGGACCAACAGCACAAACCACGAGATCTTTGTTTTCCTGAGCACAGAGCTGTTGCATTTTGTTCCTTTTTTTCTTTGTGTGCTCAACTTTCACAGACTGTAAAGGAAATTTGTTTGCGAAGATCAAGCAGAGTCAAATCTGTACTTTTAACTGAGATTGAGCGTATTAATCACGTGTCCCAGGGCTCTGGTTGTTTTAGAAGCCACATCATGTTAAACATTAACTGGTTTGGGTTAAAAGAACATTAATAACATAATACACATACCTTCTAGGTAAACAGCTTTTTTTTTTTTTTTTAAGGTCAGATTGCCTCAGGTTCAGGAAGAGGCTGGGAAATCAAATCTTGAATACAATCAATTCACATATTTTAAAATAATCTGCCTCAAAGGCGAAAACATGCTAGTCCTATGAAAAGATAAAAGAAATTAATTTTTTTTTAAAGTATGGTCATAAAATTTACTGGCAGTAGAAGATAAAGCCAAGAAACAAGGATTCTCTTGTTACCCAGTTCTATCTGCCCATGTGTTTTATAACATTTTGGTGAAAGTGGGAGTTGGTTCCCTTTTCCCAACCTGCAGAGACTATCGTACAATACAGAATCTATTTATGCTTGTGTTTACAAACTGTATTTGTTGGGTTTGGGTTGTTTTGTTTTTTTCTTTGTTGGCATTTTTTCAGGTCACTTTGCTTTGATAACAAAGGTAATTGTTATCAAATAATTTGTCTTCACCTTTTCCTGTATTTGTACATAGTGATTCAGTATTGGAGAAGTGCATTGTTTCTGTCATATTTCTGATCTGTGTTGGTGCTCATTTGAGAAAATAAAGTTTTCAAATATTAACTCTTTTGAGAATTCATCTGTCTTCATTGGCCTGATACTTTTTAATTAATTTTTTATTAGTGCATTATAACTATGTGTAATAGTGGGAGTCATTATGCTGTATCCACACATGCACATGACATAATAACCCAGTGCGTGTTTTCTTGACATTTAACTTTTAAAGTAGTGAAAGGGCTGTAGGAGGAATCATCCAGTCACAGACCTGTCAACTAAGATCTTAAGGGGTTATTTTTCTAAGACAATTGAGCAATAAATGAACAAACAGCAGATCTCCTGTATATTTACCAATGCTTCTGCTTGCTTTAGATAACTGAAATGCATGAGTGACTTTTATCCAGTTCTCTATACCAAACCCCACATTCTTAGATTTATTTGTTTACTTATTTATTTATTTACTATTTATTTATTGTGTGGTATCAGGGAATGAACCCGGGGCAATCTACCACTGAACTACATCCAAGCCCTTTTTATTTGAAACAGGATTTTGTTAAGTTGCCCAGGCTGGCTTTGAACCTGCCTCAGCCTCCAGAGTCACTGGGATGATGGGCATGTGCCACCATGCCCAGGTCTGCAAGTTTTTGTTTTGTTTAATTTTTTTAAGGGGGAGGATAAATTTTTTTTTTTTAGTTATAGGACACAATCCCTTTATTTGTTTATATGTGGTGCTGAGGATTGAACCCAGTGCCTCACACATACTAGGCAAACACTTTACCACTGAGCTACAACCCCAGCCCCTACAAGCTTTTATGATGACATCATTT